ACCTAATTTTCCGTCTTACCGTTTTTCTGTAGTATGCTAGTTACTACTTCAAGAGATGAAATTGCAGTTACACCGTCCGTTTGCATGCTGTCCAAACCCGCCAAGGACTTCTTCTGAGAAGCAGCGCACACCTGAAGTATAAAACTATATTATAGTCAATTATGTACTGCTTAAATAAGAGGGTAAAAATCCTCTTGTCATACCAAGCAAAATCTGCAGCTTGTGCTGGCCTTCTCCACTCACACATACACGCACACTTTCCCACACACTAAGCTTAAGACAGTACGGAATAACTTGCGTGTATTAAAACCAAAATTGTCTTCTAACACATGGCCTTATATCCATCTATACCTTAAGGATATTGAAAAGTGTTGATCTTCCAAGGGGTGTGAAGCCGGATTCTGTACAATAGGCTTGATACAGCTGGATGAGACGGGACGAAATGACTGTTCTCACCACGTTTGGTATGTCAATTTTCTCTCCGCTTGACAGCTTTAGAGTTTTCGTTCCATATGCAACGTCTTGAAGAAATGAAGGACTGGATACAAAATCTACGAAATGGTCGACTTTAGTGGGATCCAGCCTTGCTCTGGTAATGGTTGGCGGCTCTATAGGCTCTCCAGGCTTGGTCTGAAAAGCATGTTTTCTGGCCTCATCAATCCTAAACTTTGTCAGTCCTGGCAAAAGCTGCAGCAGTTCTGTCTTGCTGTAATCACCAGCAAAGAGGGAGAGAATCTGTTGCTGGGTGTTCCAGGATCTAGCTTCATTATACAGCGTTACTAGTCTAGAGACCAGGCTGTCTTCCTCGGCAGGACTAGATACAGTACGCCCGCTTTGGTTCCTTGCAATCACCTGTTGAAGCAGCCATGATGAATTACCCGGTGCAATAGCCTCCAACACGGAATCAACAACTTGTCTGCCTTTTTTAATAATAGCGCCGCGTTGATGACGACATAGTCATAACATCAGACCTGCATTGCGACCTGACTGGACTGATTCGGCCATCAGTTGACTTAAGGAGATAACTGTTTTGGTGCTGCAACTGATGCTCAACTTGGGGTGTTGGTTGCCACTCTCTAGACGTCTCTTCCTCTACCAACGAGCCTTGGGAGGACGATGAGAAGATATCTTATTTCGGATCGCTTTGCTATAATAAAAGGAACAAGTTTTTTTTTGTTAGCGAGGTAGGAACCTATGCATCGAATGTGCGCCTAAATAATTAGAAATACATGTCATTCGGTGTCAGAATTGCTTCTGCCTCTTCCATAGGCTTTACAAGGCTAAGTGCAGTTATGCGGAGCGCGGACATTAACTGCAGGCTGCTAGGAGATGAGCATGAAGTACGAGTTTGGGGGTGACGAGAACGAGCACAGGGTAGGGAACGGGAAATAATGTTACCCCTTTCGTCGCCCACCATATTATATAATTTTCTACAATATCCACAAAGGCACAAAATATGCAACCGCGAGTGAGTGGAACGACGCGGTTATAATTACTCTTTTACATGGAACATATAAACCACGCAGTCGAATTACGTAAAAAATTAAGTAGAACAAAATATGATAACCTCATTATTAAATATATTATGAGTTCTTTTTTGGAGTTTTAAAATTTATTAATTCAAACATATTTAAAAGGCACATCAATCCTACCTTGCTCAAAATCTCATCTTGAAATCGCAAATGTGGTAACACAAATTCCTCTTCTTCTGGCTCAGTTGACTCTGTTGCAACGTGCTCTGTTGATGGCGCTGGAGTGTGACCCACAAACTCCTCCTCTTGTGTAGCAGAAATTTGGGATCCCTTAGTTAAGGTAGCCAACACAGAGGGTGGCTCACACTCTTTCATAAAGTCAGAGTGGGCACCTCTACAGTATCTGCATATGCCTAGTAAGTAGGAATTATTTTACATATAAAGTCTTCATTTTATACTATACTCGGTGGGTTTTTAGAATAAAAAAAAAGTTGGACATGTGCCCTATTAATAAACTACCAACCTCTTTCCCCTCGCTACCCCCGTTATCCTGGCTACTTAATTTAGGAAAAATTAATTAAATTCGTCCGCGAGTTACTAGAATGATTATTACACCTATGCACCCTGGTACTGATGAGTAAGCTATTGGCGCCTGTGATAACACGAATTTCATTTTCACACACGTTTAAAAGTCTTATAGCAGAATTTTCAAAATGGATAGTGAATTAACAGCATATAGGTAAAAAAAACACAGCCGAAGTAACAATCTTAGCTTGGTAGGTTGCTTAGCAGCGCACCTTCGAAGTTGTCTTGGTCTAACTCGTCCCCAGTCGACTTCGCAAGACACATCATACCCATCAAACCATGCGGGCCTATGCTAGTAGGGAGAGGTTCAATGAGAGACGACTGGGGACGGGTCTGACTAACCCACGTTGCCCAAAGCCTTGTGGGAAGGCCTTCCTTGCCTATCCTCCCCTTCCATGCGTGATCTATGCGTTTCGGGTCACACGGTCCAATTGAGTATGTTTGTCTCTCCGCCTTTCATATCAGTGGCGTGCGCATAGGAAGTAAGCAAGTCAGTAACAACACCCTATGCAAAATAAAATCTTTTTAATTACCTGCACCGACTGGAACTACAGTGTTCCACTTTTCCTTGATTTCTTTTGCCGTCTTCAGATTGACTC